TTGGTGATGTTGATGTTTTTGCAAATGATGATGATAATGATGGTAACTGTGGTGATTAAGATGATATTGATAGTAATGAATATGATGATGATGATGAGGAGGAGGATGATGATGAAGAGGAATTTAGCTTTGGTAACGGTAACAATAATAAAATGAAGATAGTGATCACGATAATGTTGATGGTGATGATGATATTGATGATGAATATGATGATGATGATGATGGTGATGATGATGGGGATGATATGTTGTATGCGCGTTTCTTTATGTCACGAACTATTCATCCGTTTTATAATGTTTGTTTTTATCTGTCTGTGTATTAGTATGATTGTGTTTGTATGTGTTTTTGTTTGTTTGTGTGTATGTGTGTTGCATGTTTGAATAAGTGTGTATGTATGTATATTTGTATGTATGTATGGAGACAAATAAAATGTATCGTATCGTATCGTATATATGTATGTATCTATGTATGTATGTATGTATGTATGTATGTATGTATGTATGTATGTATGTACGTATGTATGTATGTATGTTAAAACCAAAACATGATGAGTGACACTGAACCGTCAAACATCAAGTAACAAATGGATTAACACTTTGATTTGTCGTTAATTGCACATGTCGGCATTCAGTTGGATATTTTCAAGCACACAGACACGCAGGAACCGCTGCAACAAGCACGAAATGTGGTTAGCTGCAAAAAACAGTTCCCTGCTGTCGCCTGATCTGACGCTGATCATTTTGCATATTTCCTTAAGAAATTTAAGGGTGTTGGGGTCCATCGGGCCAAGAACCTCGATGCATATTGGCAAGAATTCCATCGAGGGGAGGGCGTTCCCATATTTTTTCATTTTCTCGTCGGCTGCCCTGGCCGCAGCCAAACCGCATCATTTACTTGTCAGGTTTACGTATCGTTTGGCGAGGGTGCCAGGGACCGTAACATTCCACGCCAAACATCTGCCGGCTCTCCAAGGTATTAGCGTGCATCAGTCCGGGCGCCTACCATCATGCGCAGAAATGCCGGATGGTTCCTTGAGAACCGGGATTGAAGCCTTGGAGAAGAGCCGACAAATGTAAGCGCTGAGTGACGTAGTTGACGGCCCCCACCCAGGCGACAAACCAAACCGTGGTGCCCAAACTCGTCCGCCCCAGCGCCACATCGGCACGTGTATTTATTCTGAATGACCAGGCCAAGTCTGAAGCCAATGGCAAATTTCACAGACTCGTCGTCAAGCCTGGTGCCCACAGAGGTGTTAGGCAACGATCTCAACCACCCACAGCTGGCAACGCTGGACATGTCCAACAAACGAGCGGTGGAAAAGTCGTCGCCGCATGAAGACAACAAATTTTGAAAGATTTTTTATATTCTTCGTTCAAAATTTGGACGTGCGTACGGTCTTCCGGGGCGGACACTGGGGGAAGAATATCGCGGCAACGAAAAAACCGGTGGAGCAGGGAAGACTGCAGGTCGAGAGTGGCAGCGGCAGAAGAATTATAAACAACGGGAGCCAGCTGAACCACGCTAAGCAACCCCAGCCCACCAAATCGCACCGGCAGCTGAGCCTAGGACCAACCACTGTCGGTCACTTGAACATTGCAAATCGACGACAGGGCGGTGCGCAGGGCTCTGTTTAATTCGCCCAATTTAAAAGGATCAATGTGTTTGGATGTACGCAGGAAGTACATCAATTTGGGCAAACTGAGGGCATTGCGGATAATAGTCAAGGCATCATGGGCCAAAAGACAGGAAACACGACTCAGGGTCAAAAAACTTTATTTGATAATCGCCCTCGACCAAGGGTGTACCTAAAAAACTCAGTTCTGATGCACCAACTCTGGGTATTTCAGCCAGCGCATGTGGCACCTGAAATAAACTTTGGCAGTGAAGTTCGCATTTTTTAAAGTTTAACTCTAAGCCAATTGCAGCGGAGTTATGCTTCAAATATTCGTAGCTATCGGCCAGAGTTGGACCGTCCGAAGCTATGCTGATATAATCCAGATAAGCGCAAACGAAAGTGGACGAAGCTTTCTCTAAGAGTGGATGAAGAGTTAGTGCGAACAACAAAGGACCAAGTGGATCACCTTGCTGTACCCCCTCGGACGATTCTACAACCCAAGAGTGGTAGCCAAGGGAAGAGACTCCGCCATAGGCAGAATGGCAAAAATTATAGATATTGGGGCAAAAAAGTTTGACAGCCTCCAACATCGAGTCTCTTCTCAAGGCATTGAAGGCATTTTTAAAGTCCAGTTTCAGAAACCCCCATTGATCGGGGAGGTCGGTGACCAATCTTCGAACCGCATGAACAGCGGCCTCAGCGCCACCCTTAATCCCGACACCCAACTGAGTCGGGTAGAATGTATGTATGTATGTATTTATGTATGTATGTATGTATGTATGTATGTATGTATGTATGTATGTATGTATGTATGTATGTATGTATGTATGTATGTATGTATGTATGCATGTATGTATGTATGTATGTATGTATTATTATTATTATTCAAAAATTTGTATAGCGCTAATTACAAACAAAATGTTTCTCAAAAGCACTGTCTAAAAGAAACAGTTGAATAGCTACGATAAACCAAATCTTATAATGAAAACAAAAATGATTTCAATAATTTCTTGAACACTTTTTCAGTCAGTTCGGGCTGTCTTAGATAACTTGGTAGGCTATTTCAAACGGCTGGTCCAATTACAGAGAAACTTCTCTCAGCCATTTTCAAGTTGGTTTGGGTCACACATAACAAGTTGCTATCATCAGACCTTAAGCAGACAGTTTTAAAAGACAGTTGTTTCGGTGCATGCATGTATGTATGTATGTATGTATGTATGTATGTATGTATGTATGTATGTATGTATGTATGTATGTATGTATGTATGTATGTATGTATGTATGTATGTATGTATGTATGTATGTATGTATATATGTATGTATGTATGTATGTGTAGTGTGTGGGGCGTGTTTGTGTTTATGTATGTATGTGTATGTGTGTGTACGTAAGTATGTGTGTGTTTGCGTGTGTGTGTATGTGTGTGTGTGTGTGTGCGTGTGTGTTTGCGTTTACGAGGCTCAAATGGATCTTTGTGGAGACGGAAATGATGGCTGGCAGAAACAACAACAACGATGATGATGATGTTTGTGGTGATGATGATAATAATGATGGTGATGATTATGATGATGATGATGAGGGTGATGATGTTTGTGAAGATTGTATGACAAGATGATGATAAATTTATAGATGATAGTGAAGATGACGGAGGTGGTGATGATGATGATGACGAAGGTGGTGATGGTGATCGAGACAAAAATGAAATATGTTAATAACAAAGATAAGAATGATAATGACGCAGATATTTTTAAAAATGATGAAGATTATGATGATGATTTTAAAAATGATGATGATGATGATGATGATTGTCGTTGGTATCGCGTGTTACACGTGCATTCGCATCTGACATGAAGGTTAATGACGAGAACATGTTGGGAGGCTTGGTTAATATGATGATGATGATGACGATGATGATGACGACGATAACGCAGATGTGGTGATGATGATGGTGATGATGACGATGATGTGGTGATGGTGGTTAGGGTTATATTTCTAGTGATAACAAAAACAGATAACATTTATAATATTAAAACAATTATATATATCTATGCATAAATATTATTGTTATTATTATTATATTATTATTATTGTTATTATAATTATTATTATTAACATTATTTTTTTTTTCAATTTATAACCCATTTTTCAATAAAAAATTATCTCAAAAGCGCTACTAATCAGCATGCAAGAAGTCTTTCAGATCCCTCCCTACAAAGCCTGTTGAAGAACAGACTGGATTGCACCTGATTGAATGGCAACTTGTTCCACACGGTAAACAATGGCAAAGTTGCAGGTAGCAGCAATCAACCTGGTGGGAGGTACGGGATGGATTGTGCCGAAAAGAAGGTGTGTGTTTTGAGGTTCAGCGACATTTTGATGAGGTGTGAGGGTGCCATGCTATCTACGCACTTGTACATCAGGATAGAAATTTTTAACAAGATGCGTTTCTTTACAGTAAGCAAATGAAGTTTTTCGTCCACCAGCAGGTAATTTTGCGGCACGGTTCTGAACAGATCAAAGAAGACTGTTACAACAATTAGGCCCAGAAAAGGCAAACGAATGTATAAGACTCAGAGTCTTTGACAACTCAAGTGATTGTTTCACATTTTGTAGAAAGCAAAGTTGACAAAAACATTGTTTGTTTAACGGTATGATATGCTCATCTATTGATAGATTAGTTTCAGGGATGATTCCGATGTCCAGTGCAGACCTATGATAATTGAAGTGATCCATCACCATTGAACAAATGAAGTCAACATTCACTTCAGATATCTGTCGCCAAATGGGCAAAATTTGAGTTTTGCGTTAATTTAATTTAAGTCTGTCAAGCATCATCCACTTGTCAACGTCAATGAAACAGGACTTGATGGATTTGATGGATTCAGTGAGACCGCTGACATCGAGTTGGATATCGTCCGCAAAGGCATGGCATTTGAACTTATACTACCTTGTTTTATCTAAAACATCTGTTGTGTACAAAAATCAATAAAGGACTTGAAACGGATTAATGGGAGACACCAGAAGACAAGTTGACAACATCTGACAAGATGTCAAGACATCTTGTCAGATGTTGTCAACTTGTCAGATGTTGTCAGATATAAAAAATAAATAAATAAAAGCTAATGTTGGGATCGCTCAAAAAGGTAAGAGGAAAATCAAACCAAAACTGTCCCGGAAAGACAAAATGGGAGCTGAGTTTATTAACGAGCAGATTGTGGTTGCACAATTGAAGGCAGCACTCCTGCCGAGTGGGACCAGTGATTAAAGACGCTGATTGTCATTGGATGGAAAAAATCAGAAAGGACCTAAAGAAGAGGAGCAGTTTTGCTAGAATGGAACTGGCAATAGCCGCATTGGAAGGAAGGAAGAAGATCGTAAATATTCAGATGGAAGAAAAGTTGTTAGTTAGTAAAAAGTTGTTTATTAACCATTGATTTGAAAGAAAGATTGAATATTGAACGCTAGTTAGATAGGCTACAGCGGCCATTCAGGATAGGAGTGACAATGGCATGTTTTATTTATTAATTGTTATCATCATCATCATCATCATCATTGTTGTTGTTATTATTATTATTTTGAAATATCACCAATAGGTTTTTATAATAATTTTAATCTTTCACTTTTTAAAATTTTGTGGCCGGATTCTTTCAACGATGAATTGATAGAGACTGTTATAAAGCTATCGTATGGCATATATTGTGACAGAAACAATTTGTGATATATATTTGAATATACTTCCCCGCTATGGACTTTTTCTAAAAAATGAGCATTGTGGCAATCATTGACATTTTATTACATTTTATTACATTATTGTGACATTTCATTATTTTATTTTCATACTTATTTATTGTCTTTGCTTTGAAACAAAAGAGTTCTCATTACTATTATAGTGATAATCAACCATATTAATGCTAGAATGACATCAAATGTTAATGTTCTGGTGATTTTGTTGAAACAATCAACTTCATGTTGGCATCATTCGTCGGCTAGTATCAAGTCTTTGGCGTCAAAGATAGTAGTAATTTTCATGTGACGATGTTGATATTATTGTTACTATTGTTATTGATGATGACGATGATAATGATTTGTTGTTGTTTATGAATTGTTGTTGATGATGATTTGTTGTTGATGATGATTTGTTGTTGATGATGATTTGTTGTTGATGATGATTTGTTGTTGATGATGATTTGTTGTTGATGATGATTTGTTGTTGATAAAGATTTGTTGTTCCTGCGTGGCTGGCGAACGTCATCATCATCAACTACATCAAACAGCATGTCAACGACATCATCAATTTCAAGTATATTGACAAAATTACCGTCATCATCTTCATCGTCTTCATCTTCTTAATAATTATTATTATCATCATCATCCTCATTATTATCAACAAAATTCAAAGGTGAAAAATTTGTCAAGTTATCATTTAGTTTCTTTTGATATCTTCTCTGATTTTCAACAAAATTTCTAATCATTCCTTACCTTCAAAAAAGAACGCTTAATAAGAACGATAATATAGCCTAATGACTAAAGGCACTCTGCGTTGCACTAACCTGGTTCAAATGCAGAATGGTGTCCTGATGCAGCAATTTACGCGTGTCTGCTTCATTGGAACCTCCGAGTAAAGCAACGAAAGACCATAACTGAGCAGACAGTAGGAAACACTCCAACATCCAATCATTGGAGCGTTGATTTGTTTGGATGATTTTCACTCTGACGTTCCAACCAAGGCATGGCGATCTTAAAGCCTCCTCATCTGCTTTTGAATCTTCCTGGCTAAGTAACATTATGTATCTTATGAGCCAGGAAGATATAAGGTTAGATATAGATAACAGCATGATCCCCATTTTTTCCGCGGCTCTGACAGACCTAACAAAGTGACCAGACGGACGATGGAATAGCAACCTGAATTTAACTGCATTTTTTTATAAGCCATTAGTGGAGATCTTTTAAACGCAGTTGCGATGCGAGAAATATCGGTGTCTCACAAGCAACCTGATTCATGCGTTCAACACAATTGAGTGCAATGTGAGAGAAACTGCTCCAGCCCATGTAGCAATGTGTTGCAATGATCAATTCTTGGGCTGCCGTCAACATGTCACATTCCAACATGCCGACGATTTGTAAAAAAACATTACTCATCAGCAACTAGCAGCAGCATCAAATTTCCATCAACATACCGAAATATCAACAACTTCCAAAATACAAAGAATTTTAGTAACAGAATTTATTACGAAATTATTGCTTTTAATACCACGGTTATCATTAGCAACGATCGAATAATTTACATCTACAACAACATTTAAAACACCATCTAAAATTAAAAAATCATAAAAAGACAACTTCAAAAACATTATCAACCGCATCAACAACAACAATATTTACATCAACAACAGCAGTAACAACATCAACAACAACAACAAATTCATCAACAACATCAACAACAACAACATCACAGAGCATTTTTATAGCGTCCGTTATTTCCTCATAATTTCTCATAAACTTTCAAGTGATAAGTCGAATATTTTTCCGGGTAGATGGTCACCAAGTTGTGTAGCGCTATACAATCAATATATATTTTTTATTTTTTTACCATACGAAGCAATACTATTTTTACCTTTTCATTAATTAATTCCCATCATTTCCTCAATTTTTTTTAATTAAAAAAAAATCAGTCATAGGAGAATCTCTCCAAACATGCAAAAGAAAAAAATGAAGAAATTAATAATGATGAATTATAGTTGTAGTATTGAATTATTTAGTTAAGATTTTGAAATGAAAAAATATAAAAAAAACAAAGTATTTTTAAACTATTTATATAAATACGCGTGGGTTGAAAATGAGAAGAAAAGTGTTCGAAGCTTCGGTGGAAGTTGTCTGCGGCGAGGTTTCAATCTGAATTTGACTGAAAAGATTCATTAGAATGAATTGGAATGGAGGATGGGATGTAATTAGTTGCCTTTGATGGGAAAATAAATTTTAAGTTAATGATGATAAATGATGATGGTTGGTGTTGTTGATGATGATGATGATGGTGTTGTTCATGATGATGATGGTTGGTGTTGATTATGATGATGATGATGGTGTTGTTCATGATGAGGAGGAGAAGTAGGAGGATGGTGTAGATTATAGTGATGACAACGGTGATACAAATAAATTACACATTTAGGGTGATAAAGATAAAGATGATGATGATAATGATGATGATGATGATCTCACGTATAAATCTTTCAATAGTTATGAAAGAAAGTAATAATAATAAAAGAGGTTACCTACTCTTTCGATAATAACAATAAAAGTATGATTAAATAAATTCATATATTAATGAACGAACGAAAGAAAGAGTGAGTGAGTGGGTGAACAAATGAATGAATGAATGAATGAATGAATGAATGAATGAATGAATGAATGAATGAATGAATGAATGAATGAATGAATGAATGAATGAATGAATGAATGAAAGAAACCGGTAAAGGCCTGCATATGGTCAGGCAGCACAATAACAATTACAACCCCACCGCTTCGATCCTTCATATTTATGTTCCTGTCTGAACAGGTCTTTTTTCCAGCCATTGTTTATTTTTCTTTTTTTTATGATTGTTGTTATTGTTGTTGTTATTCAGTCTTTACTTTGTTGTTATGATTGTTGATTTTGTTTAATTCTCCAAATTGCTGTTGTTATTCGTTTGAGAATTTCAAGTTTTAAAAATTGTCTTCCCATATTAGATAGGATGAGATTAATTGAGCCTGCGCCCCCCGTTTCCCTTTCAATGAATGAGCTTCATTTCAGCGTAATTCCATTATCAATTTTATTCCTTACGGCCATCTCAGTGAGAGGCATTTTATTTTATTTCTAAATTTTTCAGACGCCTCGGATGGATGTTTGGCACGTACATGTTTTGATTCGAAGGAGATGTTGATTGGTTGGTGCAGTCCAGCATGGCGGCATTCATCACACTTGCTTGCTGGCCCTGCTTGCACCACCTTTCCTCATCATTTCCTGGTCATCGTTTAGCTCTTTGAGTTACGTCATAATGAAGGTGATAGGAATGGTGATGGTCATGATGACGGTGGTGATGATGGTGATGGTCATGATGATGATGATGATGGTGATGGTTATGATTATGAGGATGATGGTGATGGTTATGATTATGAGGATGATGGTGATGGTTATGATTATGAGGATGACGACGGTGATGGTAATAAGGATGAGACAATAATGATGACGATGAAGATGATGGTGGTAGTGGTGATGATGATGATGATGATAGGAAATATAAGTGGCAGTGATGATGATAGGAAAGATGTCGCATAGAGAAGGTTCAAATATTTTGTAATAAACCACGACAATTTAAATTTTGATTAAAAATGTCGAAAATGAAATTGAATGCATCTCAACTTTAATTTTATTCGTTTTATGTTATTATAAATTTGCAGTACAATACAATCCAACACAACACAATACAATACATTACACTGCAAGACAACACAAAATGTTATTCAATATTTTAAAATTGCATCCACTTTTGTTTCTCTTTCCACTTTTACTTTTTGTTGTTTCTTTCAAAAATTTGATAACTTTGACACGGCCCAGCAAAGAGATATTTATGCCGGCGACACGTGCAACTGTTGACGACGAGCCACAAAGCGACTATGCTGAAAATAACACAAAAAACAACAACACAACAACAACATCTATATTAAAACATAAAAAAAACAACAGCCCAACTATATTGAAAAGCAACACAACAACAACACACAACAACAACACTGCAACACATCAAAAACGACTAAATTTTAATAAAATCACGACGACACATCAGCTTATAACATTGGAACTGGCCCTCAATTAGCCCTCCGTCGCAACAGAACTCGCAATGTTTTCGCTGTGTAGCGATGGGAATGAATCAGCTAGTCGCACAGCTAGGATTTGAATGTTAAGCCCTGGACCACTTGGTATGATCTGGGCTGTGGCGGATATAGACAACTTTGACGGGGGCAAACATTATTCAATTTTTACGGGAATTTGTGGTGTTGTGGCCAATGTTATGCTGACAACCTTTTTTGCATATCATCCACACCATTGGTCAATTTTTGACATAAAACGCTGCTTTTACTGTTAAAACAATGAGTTTTACTCACTTTTGATAATTATAATACTGCAGACAACTGAAGGCCACGGGAGAAGAGCTTGGTGGGCTCAGCAAGCGCCTACAGAGGTGGCAAAAGTGGAACAGGAGGTAGTAAATAAAGTGAGGACCGACCGATATCACAGGCAAATTCAGCAAGAGTGACAAAACTTCAACAACAAAAACAAGCCAACAACGTCAGCAACGAACAAAACTGTAAAAATTTTAGTCTCAAATAAAAATGCTCATCCAAAAATAGAAAATTTTTCTCTAATTTCAATGGTGTATTACAACAGCGTGCATTATTTTTATGCGGTGATTTATATTTCAGCAATGAATGAAAAAATGTTGGAAATAATTCATCATCTGCTGGTGCGCCGAAATAACAACAACACAACCCAGGCTTACTAAAACAATTTCACCAGTGAAACAAAGGTAGAAATAATGAAACAATTTGCGCAAACAACAAACAAGTTAAACAAAAAAGACCACTGGTAAAGAAACAACAATGTGTAACAACAACAACAACAACAACAACATATAAACAATATCATGTAAACAACAGCAACAACATGTAAGCAAAAGCATTTGAACAACAGCGACAACATCTAAACTACAACAACAACAAAAATATGTAAACAACAAAAACATGTGAACAACAACACTGCAACAACAACAGCAGGTCACAAACAAAACAAACCCGAGAAACAAATGTTGGCGTTTTTTCATGAAATGTGATCACCTCTCTACTGCATTTGTGAAAGTTATTTTATGAAATATTGTTGGATGGATGGATGGATGGATGGATGGATGGATGGATGGATGGATGGATGGATGGATGGATGGATGGATGGATGGATGGATGGATGGATGGATGGATGGATGGATGGATGGATGGATGGATGGATGGATGGATGGATGGATGGATGGATGGATGGATGGATGGATGGATGGATGGATGGATGGATGGATGGATGGATGGACATCAACATTGCCAAAACTTTATTGGATAATCAAAATAAACCCAAACATTATCATGATAAATTTAAAATTGCAAATTCAATATGTCAATCTATCTTTTTAAGACCAGTTGATGAAATAGAAATTATAAATATAGTTAAAAATATGAAAAACAAAACAAGTATTTCTCAGGATAACTTAAGTAATTATTTAATCAAACAGATGATTAATGAAATAATAAAGCCTTTAACATACATATGCAAACTTCCTTTCTCACAGGGCTACTCTCCTCAATGCTTTAAGACCGCTAAAGTAATACCAGTTTATAAAAAAGAAGATCGGTTAGATATATCTAACTACCGCTCTGTTTCTCTTCTCTCGCCTATTTCAAAAATTATAGAACAATCGATGTGCCAGAGATTAAAATCTTTTATACAGTTTAAAAATATTATTCATGAAAATCAGTATGGATTTCGAGCAGACCACTCAACGGAGCTTGCTATAGTAGAATTTTCGCAGAGAGTGATGGAAAAATTGAATGAAAAGATCTTCACATTAGAAATTTTTATGGATCTATCAAAGACATTTGATCTAATAAACCATGAAAATCTGTTAAGAAAACTCTATTCATACGGTATAAGAGGAGTTGCATATAAATGGTTTTCCTCTTACCTTGGAGAAAGAAAACAATATGTCTCAATCGAAACCTATGAATCAGAAAGGCTCCAGATTAACTGCGGAGTCCCACAAGGCTCTAT